CAGTATCATGTCTACAGTATCCGGTAATAAATAGTGTTTTGGGACAACAGCATATTTGATAAATTAAACAAAATAAGAAGGATATTTATGGTTTTAATTTTTTTCTCTTTCATATTTACCTAATATTCAATTATCAATGATAAAAATCTAATTGTCAAGTCTTCTATGCATATACATTAATATAAGCCATTTGATTATAAGGAAAAATTAAATACTACAATTAATATGTAACCTTTATCTCTCCCTTCTATCCTGGCAAAAAAGCATGTGTACATCTCCATACAACTTTGTCATCTCAATGTAAGAAAATCTACATAGACGGAGATGAAGTAGGATCGGGAAAATGTTATTTTCGTCAATTTTGTAGCCAACGGTTGGTTGGTAGCCAAATGTTCGTCAATTTTGCCTTCGTGTAAATCTTCAAGACTAGTCTAGAAGAAGTCTACTATAGATGATGTGTCGAGTTTTAATTAATTAATTGCAATCGTGCAACGAACACTACAAGAAACCTGCTTGGAGACGTCGGTTTATTAAAGTCATTTCTTAAACCGACGTAAAATGTTAAAATGGGACGGGTTTTAGCGTCGTTTGGTTAACCGATGTAACATTTTATTATACCAATACTTATCAGTTTAGGGAATCAATATGGATCTAACGCTTACAGAGAAAAAAAAATGCAGATCTTGAAGCTTTTTGTGTGTCAATGGATCTATCGATTCCAATGACCTAATCGAAGGTATTTGTTACTTTTGCATCTGATTTCTTTGAAATCGATCTTCGATTGCTCAATCCGATCATGTGGTTTGCTATTTCTGTCTCGGGAGTTTCTCCTTTTCAATTGCTCGAGATCGATAAGATTCGTATGGTATAATATTTTTGAAGAATTTGCGTGTTTTTCGATTGAATAGGTACTCTAACAAGGATTCTCGAATCGGTTTTATGATGATGGATTCATGAAAGTTTTCTAGGTAGAGTTTTTGGCGTGAACTTGAAATTTCAGCTTGCTTCAATCTCTTTGCAAATTTTATGGAGATTCAGGTAAAATTCAGTCTTTGTTCGCTGATTTGAAATGTTGTTGCATTATTCAAGGTTCTATTGACTCAAATCATTAGTTAATTTTGCCAAATTAATTGTTTATGTAGAAGAAACAGCTATGATTGGCTTTACATTTCATTATGCAGCTTGCATACGAATCTTATCCCTCAAGGTATGCATTCTTTGTACTCTCTCCAATTTCTTAAGAAACCTTATTGATTTGATGCAATGTTCTATGCTTTTGATTTGTCCTTTTCATGTGTTTGTCAAATACTCAATTTTTAAGAATATTGATCTGAAAAGTTAAAGGAGTTGGAGTAGTTGTTAACTTAGTAATAATTTTATCGTGCATCTACATTTTCTCAACATCCTTAGAAACCTTTTGGCATCATTTGAGCATAAAAACTTTATTATGACTAATTCACATTTGACTTGAAATGTATTAGCCTGATGGGATGAATTTAGAGATGAATTTAGAGATGGATCTGAGGAGAAACAGATATAGACCTGAAGAAGATGACTTTGGCGATATTGTCCATCTTCTATATGTGTTTTATTCTTTCAATTTATGGCCATCATTCCTCGTATGTACTTTATTGATGCAATCTATACCCGAAATCTTCTTTTCAGTTTGACGAGCATCAGATGACCAAGATAAGAAAAAAGCAGAGGAATTATCAGTAGAAAGGGCGAAAGTTGCAGTAGGCAAGTGCTCACACTTTGTCTACGTTCTTGAATCAAATCTTGATGGATCTTTCTGCACTTGAGATAGATCAGGTAAAACTTATTAAACTTTATATTCTGTGTCTAGCTTCTGCGTCTTCTTCCTTTGACAAAACAAACTCAAAGCAACCCATTTCGATGTAGGGTCAATAGTTAATCAGAAATTTGCTAGTGAGATGTTATGAACTGGAACATGAAGATAATATATATGGATTGAAGATGATATTTGAACTAGACCAATTTCACTTAAAAATCATGTTTACCATACATGTAAAGATAACAGTTATGAATGTTGCTTGTGTGTGTTTTGGATATCATGATATGGCACCAATAGGAATGGTCATTGAGCTATATTGGGAATCATTTCAGTAGCTCACTTATGAATCTATAATCTGCTTTTTGATACTTGGATCTTCTCTTTCCTAATTCACTTGAAAATAGTATATCCTTTCATGTTGAGTATAATGTTTTTCTTAAAGCTTTTTTGCTTCTTTTTTTCTTTCAGATAATCTTGGGACTTTGTACAAGGCAGCTTACAAAGACTTCGTGGCTTCGTGCAAGTAACTTTGAATTTTGAATACTACACTTGGTCACTTTGAAGACATATATACATCAGTCAATACATGTGAATTCTTTTTCAGAATTTTATGTTTTTAAGGACAAACTTATGCTTTATGCAAAATTATATATTCAAAACAATATAAATATTATCATTTTGATCGATTGTCTTTCCAACTTTAAGTAAAAGAAAATTAATTCATAGTAATTTTTATTTAGATTTGATTAAAAAAAAATAGTATAAATTGTCTATAAATGAGAAAACATAAATATGCTTTCATTACGTCGTTTATTAACCGATGTTACTTACAAATTCTGACGTCAAGTTTTATGACGTTACATTTTGAGTCGTTTTTTAAAATGAAGTAAAAAAGTTTTACGTCGGACGATGAGACGTCATTTGGAAAACCGACTCTAAGTTATTAATGTTAGTTATAAATCGACGTTAACCTTCCATATAAATGACGTTAACAAGCGTCTTTTTTGTAGTGTATATATTTAAAATGGTATAAATTTATTATTTCTTTTTGTTTGATATTTTTCATAGATAATTATATTTTTGCTATTTAGCATTCGCGTACATATTTTGTTATCTATATCATTTATATATATATATATATATATATATATATATATATATATATTTTATTTTTTTTTGTCAACCACACATTAGTTATTAAACAGCTCCTAGATTGGTTGCCCAAATAGGAGGAGTAGTGTTTACGTACAAAAGTAATTTCAGAAAATAAAAGTCGAGAAGAATGGGCTAAGCAGTCTGCCTTAACATTACATAAACGAGAGATAAGGGAAAGCGAGAATAAGGGGAAGGAGACACAGAGCAGTCCAAAATCATCTAGCTGATTGGAAAAAGCGGGCCATTCTTCATGTGATTGTACCATCGAGACTAACTCTGAGCAATCTGTTTCAAACATCTGACAATCAATCCTTCTTAAAAGGATATTCTTCATGGCCCAAATGAAAGCTTCCATCTCCAAGTGAAGGGGGGAGGGGCACCTCCAGAGGCACTTTGCAGCAAGCAGTATCGTTTGATCATTTCCTTGAAAACACCACCATCCTATACCCATAGTTGGATCCGAAGATTTCCAAGAGCCGTCAATCCGATATCTTAAAGATTGGATTGGGCTTTCCAATATTTCCGTAATAATTCTAGTTTCGATCGGTTCCAACTGAGCATCTTTCCACATTAATTTCTCATTCAAAGCGTGATTTAAAATATCTGTGGGTTCAGATTGTATTTCTTTGAAAAACTTTTTATTCCTATATTTCCATATAAATCACAAAATCCAAGCAAAAGAGTTGGTTCTTTCTCCCCCATCTAGAGGAGGTGGTAACCTCCAATAAAGATAATCTAGATTTAAAAATTCTGACCTTAGAGGAAAAGTACTTGAAACCATTGGTATTGTGGATAATTCCTATATTTTTTTGAATGAGAACATTCAAATAAAGCATGATTTATTGTTTCCTCTGCCTTCTCACACCTTTTACAGACAATATCACAATGAATCCCTCGATGTGCTAATTTTGAGGTAACTGCCAAGGATCCTGAAGCAATTTGCCATAAGAAATGTTTCATTCCCTAGATACTTTTAATGATGCCATGCTAGCTAAACAGTATTGGAGATTAATCCAATATACAAACTCTTTAGTAGCTCGAGTGCTAAGAGGTAGATATTTCAGGAATGTTCATCCTTTAGATGCTAAAAAGCCAATTATCCTTTAGATGCTAAAAAGCCAAACTCTCCATCATTTGGATGGAAGAGTATTTTTTCGACTAAAAGCCTTGTTGAAATGGGTGCAAGATGGTCCATAGGTTTGGGTTTTAACATATCGATATGGCGAGATCTTTGGATTCTCGATGTTAACCCACGCCCCGCAAATGGAAGAGGGAATTTTTCACTTCCAAGCCTAATGGTTAACCATTAAATTAATCCAGTTTCTAAAGAATGACACCTTCCAATTTTACAAGAATTTTTAGATCCGGTGGATATTCAAATTATTAGTGGACTAACTATTAGTCAAGTTTATAGACCAGATAGGCTTATTTGGCATTTTACAAAATCGGGAAAATATACAGTAAAGTCAGGATATCGACTTGCTCGAAGGTTGACATAAACGATCGAATGGAGCCTAAAATATTTATAATAGTTTAGAAAATTGAAAAATTGCATCTACTCATTATAACTTTTTGTTTAATATTTTTTATTTATGATCGCATCTTTTCACCATAATATTTTTTAATAATAATAAAAATCTTAAAAAATATTTTTGAGGGTTTACGTCTTTTTATTATATTTTTTTGTAAATATATCTTTATGTATTATTAAAAAAAGTTATTTTGAAACTTATTCTCTCAATTCAATATAACATTTCGTTTGATATTTTTTTCTTTAATTTTGTTTGAAATCTTTTTCTCCGCGACATCGCGGGATCTAAATCCTATTATAAACAACATCAAAAAGTGTTTTTTTTTTCGATACTACTTACCTAATTTACAAATTTGTTTGTTATTTTTGTAAATTTCTCCTTGAAAAAATAAAAAAAAACTTTAGAGGTAGTACAGTGAATCTCATAAAGTAAGAAAACACGTGGAGCTTAACCCATCCACGTGGATTCTAAAACACACAATCAATAAAACTCTTGTTTCAATTTGTATCGTAGACCTCAGAAGAGGTCAGCTTCAATTTTGACTCTCCTCCAAAACAGAGAGACAAAGTAAGCCAAGCGTCATTGTTTTAGTCCACCACCACGTTTAAGCTCGACGCACACAGAGAGAACAACAACAAGAAGAAGAAGGATCCTTCAAAGCTCTCCTTCGTCTTCTTCAACTACTAGAAACCTTCGTTTTCGATTCAATTGCATTGCGTTTGCGAAGTTTTGGTGATTCGATTTGATCAGATCTTCGATTTTGAAATCGAAGAATTTTAATCGGATGGAGATGGTTTTGGAGGAGAAAGATGCTTCCGATTGGATTTATAGAGGCGAAGGTGGTGCTAATCTCGTTCTTGCTTACGCTGGATCATCTCCACTTTTTGTTAGTCTCTTCTTCTTCTTCGATCTCTCTTCCTTTTGAATCCTGTAAAAGTTAAAGCATGTTTGATGAAATTTGATTTCGTAGTGGAAAAAGTAGTTCTGATTCTAGCCGTCATCGACTTTTTTGCTTTATGAGTTTTTGTTTAGATTCTCTAGTTGGAAACTTGGATATAGATTCTTCTTTAGTGGCTCTCTTCTTATATGAAGAATCAGAATCAGAATCAGAATCAAAGTATATCTTGTAGAAATTCTTATCTTCTCAGATTGATTAGTGTAAAAAATTACACAATGTCTTTATTATAGTAAAATGTTTTGTACACTATTGATTTGTACTTTGATTAGGTGGGGAAAGTGATTCGTATACAGAAGGCTCGGAGGAATGATAAAGCACATATGACTGCGAATGGCGTTGTTTCGGTTTTAACAAGCGATGAGCAACTTCTGTGGAGGGAAAACAAAGAGCTGATTTCATCACCAAACAAGGAAGTTCTTGAACAAAGATATGTTAAGAATGTGATTATTCCACTCTTGGGTCCTAAACATGTTGATGCAGGAGTAAGTGATATTATCAAATGTCTTTGTTGGTTTAGTTTGGATACCAATGGATTCTTGGTAAGCTGATGAGTGAAGTATTGTTGTTGGTTTGTTTTTTTTTTCTCCTTTTTTCGCAGGTACGTGTTTCTGTGTCCAAGGAATTTCTTGAGTGTGTTGATAAGAAAGTAACTAAGCAACGTCCGCTATGGCGTGTTAATGCAGCACATGTTGATACAAGTCATGATTCTGCACTTATTTTGAATGATCATTCACTTTTCTCTCATGGTAAACATTATTATAAGAAATCGGATATCTCAAGAGAATCATATTTGCGTTGAGTTTATTTATTCTTAAATTAGTCGTAACAATCTGGTGTTATCTGTGCCAGGTATTTTTAGCATTGGTGATTGCATTAGTATTGAAATAAAGGTTTGATAAATCCTCTACTTTTTGATGTTTTTTCTATTCACTTGTATTTCTCATTCTTGACCTAAACTCGCTGTCCTTACTTCCATGAAGTAGCCCAAATGCGGATTTCTTCCAACCTCAAGGTTCATAGGTAAAGAAAACATGCTGAAAACAAGCGTAAGCCGTTTCAAAATGCATCAACTCTTAAAGTTGGAATATAACGAGGTAAAAGCAAATCATTGGTACTTTAAAATCTTAATGGAACTTTCTTTTGTGGAAAAGGTCTATAGATTGTGATTTACCGAAAAGTCTTATAAGTATGTCACTTTTCTACAGATATCTGAAGAAAGTGAATATGATCCTCTTGATCTGTTCTCTGGATCCAAAGAGAGAGTTTTAGAAGCTATAAAAGCCTTATATTCTACTCCCCAAAACAATTTCCGTGTATTCTTGAATGGTTCTCTCATATTAGGGGGTTCAGGTGAAAGCACAGGGAGAACCAGCCCCGAGATCGGGTATGCCTTTGAGGATACTCTCAAAGGTTTCATTCAATCAGAAGACGGTCATAGGACAAAATACTTTCTACAGCTAGTATCTGACGCTGTCTATAGCTCAGGAGTGCTCGATAGACTTCTTGAAATTCAGAAGCTAGACAAATTCGACATTGAAGGAGCGATTCATTCGTATTACGATATTATCAACCAGCCTTGTGCTATATGTAAAGAGAGTGGGCCACTGGAGGCATACTCATCTCTACATACTTTACCGTTAGATGAAAGTTTAAAGATCGTGAAGGACTATCTGATAGCTGCAACTGCCAAAGACTGTAGTATTATGATCAGTTTTCAATTAAGGAATGCTTGGGATTCAGAACCTTCTTGTGATTATGTCTCTCTAAAACCGACCAATCAAACGTTTGATTACAAGGTATGATCCATTTTATAACACATTCTCGTCTTTTATGGTGAAAGAACTATTGAACTGTGGGATTCGCGAATCAATAGTCATAATAAGAACAGAAATTTCATTAGAAAAAGTCGAGCTCTCAGGAACCATATAATCGTTTTTTCATTTTTTTAATATTTGTTTGATATTTGGATTTATAATTGTAGGTACATTTCATTGATCTAAGCCTGAAACCACTGAAGAGAATGGAGGCATACTACAAACTGGATAAGAAGGTAATTAGCTTCTACAATCGGAAGCAGAAGCTCGAAAACGCGGCAGAACAAATCGGTGACTCAAAACCTTCCCATAGCTAAGTCATGGATCGTCTCAATACCACTAGCTGTTTTTTTTTTTTTTTGTTTTACTGTTGTTGTAAAACATAATAAAGAAAGCCCTAAAAGATGAATGTTCATTTCTTAAAATTTATATCTCCTTCACTCTATATCTCCTTCTCTCGCGGAGGGCAGAGACATTTGTAGACCGGCATGGAGCCGTTGCCTGGAGATGTTTTACTGGTCCCGAATGATCTCTGTCAAGTTTTGCCAGATTGCTTGTACATACACAGATGGAGCTTAGTCACTGTTACTGGCCTTCTAAGGAAAATGTTGTTGTCAGCGGTTTTCCGTTCTATTGTCTCTCGAATGGTGTCATTTTCCGATCTAAGGAAAATGTTGTTGTACCTACTTGTTTTTTTTTTTTCATAAGCAATATATTTGTAAGCCATTTGAACTTTGTCATCATTTTTTTTTTGTTTTTGTAGAAACTTGTGAGATGCTGTAACAACGGAGTTCATATTGAAATATAATGAATATTAAATTCTAACTATTTATTAAGTGCAATACATGGTAGATTAAATAAATAAACGAATAAAAATGTTAGGATATTCGAGATATGTACTCACGAGAGTAAGTAGCTGGACTATATATACGTAAAACACATTATTTTCTTTGAAGAGTTTAGAGAACAAAGACAATTAGAGGGAGATTGACAAAAAAAAAAAGACAATTAGAGGGAAAACAAATTTTATATTTCATGGATCATTTACTGTCAATTTTCTCAATACTAGAGAAATTAGTTATAAAACATCGAATGCTATCAACAGAGCCGTGCCAAAAGTTTTAAAGACCATAGACGAAAAATATAATTTAATATTTAAATTATTTATCACAAATATAATACAAAAATTTATTTTAATATTTAAGACTTTATAATAAATCTATTACAAAACTTTAAGCAAAACTTGTAAACTAAAATTTGAATAAAAATATTACAAAATAAAAAAAGATAGATAATTAAGTTGACCATAAGATGTAGAGTAATATGTTGTGTGTCATTGTTGTGTAAAAAACATAGTTTTGGTGATTAGTATAAATTTCATATAAAAATTTTGATATACAAAGAAGAAAATTAACAACCTTGAGTTATAATGGACATTTTAGATCATGAAAAACAATTTAACAAACATTTTTAGGGTGACTAATAAATATTTGTGAATATTGTTACTTGATTAATATTTGTAAAGTCATTACTCGGTCAACAACTAACCTTGTATATAATCCCCTATATATTAATAGAGAAACATTTTTTAAAAAAAACCTTACCATCATGTGTTATTAACAAGATTGCCACGCTGATGTGTCGCTCTCACAATGATTTGGCTTCTATTTAGATAATAATTATCCAAGATTTATTAGACTATTTACAAAATTTGCCATTAGTCTCATACATCCATATATCCCATTAATAATTAAAAACATACACTTTTTGTTTATCTTATATTACTATATTTTTATATTTATATTTTTCTTTATATACATTTATATAAATTTTTTTTTTTTTCATTTATATAAAATTTATTTAGCGTATTGGTAAACAATATTTATATTTATATTTGTATTTATGTTTATATTTAAATAATAAAATATATACATTTGATTCAAGAATCTCGAATTCAAAACTACAAAATCTTTACATCTTTCATAAATTTTTTACTTAAATAAATAAGATAATCTCTTTTCTATATATGTTACGAATACTTAAAATCCTATTTTTGGAGGAGTTCTAACTTTTCGAAGAAAAATATTATAACCACATTTGTATATAAACCAAAATCTGGCCACATTATAACCATTTCGTAAATAATCCATTCATAATCTAAGAATCTTAGATTTGGAACACTACAAAATCTTAGCTTGGAAATTATCAAATCTCATATTTGCTAAATTTTGGATTTCTTATACTTATTAAGAAAAAAAATTTCTTTTTATACTACAAAATCTCGAAATCTTTAAAACATACGGAAAGACATATTGCCATAAATGGTAACATTTCGTCAATACTTTTTTATCACGTTGAAGCTTTATTCAAGGTTCAAATATTTCATGGGTAAAACATATTCTTATATGAAATAGTCCCAAATTTGAATTAAAAAAAAAAAATTTGTAACATGTTTCGTTTTACACAAACGGATCTTGGATCCCGGAAAATAATTTTAATCATAATAATTTTACTTGAATCACTTCATCCCGCACATCGTGCGGGTTGTTATCTAGTAGGGATATTATTCTTACACGTTGAGATCCTATTACTTTCCTTAATACTTGTACAACATTACCTCAACATATCATACACAATTAAAACCATTAACAAAATTTTGGCTTCCTAATTTTTTTAAAAATGTTGATGCCGTGGCGAATGTTTACTTTTCTGCTGAATAGGCACGGCCCTGGCCATCAACTATAGAAGAAACTAAGAAAGTAACATGCTTAAAGCATATTTTAATTTCTTACTTTTATGAGTCTATATCTGGGTCAAAGTTCTCAATTTTTTTTTCACATTTTCATTATAATTAAATCTATGTTTTTACCAATAGTTTAGAATTTTCTTTTTATGTATTTACATTAGAGAAATCTTCTCATGACGTAGAAAATGAAATAAAAATAATATATTATAAAGTATATTTGGATGTGAAAATGATTAGGTGTTATGAGAAAGAGATATGTTCTCTAAAATTTTAAATAATTAATATGTCTAATACCTCGGAGAAACTTCATTAACTTTGTAATAGAAAAAAACTATCACATAATACTTTTTGTATAATCAACAATTTTTTCATTATTGTTTTTTGTGTCAAAAACTTATGTGTTTTTGTAATTTATTTGTGATATTTTCTTTAAATTCACGACAATTAAAAGATTAGTCAATTAAAAATCAAATAACACACAGTTATGAAAAATCATAGTCACGGTAATTACAATTTTGTTTAATGTTTGTTTATAATTTTGTTTAAGGAATATTAAAAATTTGGTTTGAGTATGAAATTTAACATTAATTAATCATACTTATGACATATTATATTGGTGATGAAACATTGGTTCCACCATTGGTCGAACTAAAGATGAAAGATATATAAAAGGTGACAGCTATCTTGGATAAGTGTTAATTTATATTAATCAAGAACGCCTCTTTATTTCACGGTATTAGTGATTGCAAAGATGGAGGAATGAACCTCATCCTGAAGTGTACATTTTTTTTCTTACCACATTTTTCATGTAACCACAATTCATGAAATGTGAAAACCAGCAAGAACTGTGGTTACATGAAAAATATGGTAACAGAAAAAAGCACTTAAATCACCTCCATGAGAAGGTAAATAGGATAGTCCAGACTGCCAACACTTACTCAAGGTACGTACATATTGCAGGTCAATATTAAGACAATTATGGTAATATTTAAACATTGTCATGTTAACCATCTCTGATTCTCCATTTTTTTTTATTTTTTTTTTATTAAGGGAACAAAGATGCAAATGTGAAAACCAGCAAAAATTTTGGTTACATGAAAAATGTGGTATCAAAAATAAAAGTAATAGCTAACACTTTTTGAGCGTATCTAACGGCCGGATTTCTATTTGACACTTTGGTATTCTCCACTATTATATATTCCAACTCCAGTTAAATCCCAAATACTAGCCGACACGCTTGAGTCAATTTTGAATTTGTTGAGATTTTTCCGCTTGAACCCATATATGTCACTCACTTGGAAAAGAGATAATTCATATTGTTCCCTCCAACTTGGAATGTAATGTCACCGTTATCTTCATAAGCTCGGTTTTTAGCATACTTGACTCGAAACTTCAAGGAAGCTAGGAACTCGCAAGTGGGTTGTTGATATGATTGAGCTCTCTCAAGAAGTTGTGATCCAAAAATCTTGTTTGAGAGAAACCCAAAGTCATGAACTTCGCAAAGTATTCTTCAAAAGTTGGGATCCCTTTTAAGGGTTAATCTTTTGCCCGTGGATCCTCGTTTTCACTACCATTTTCAAGCACTGACTAGGATTCACTCTCAAAGGGTGACAGTGAGAATTCTTCTTATTTTTTTTTTTTGTTTTGATTTTGAAATTTCTATTTTTGTGGTAATGCTAGAGGTTGTAGCTTTTAGATTTTTTTCCTTCTGCTGTTATTGTGCTTTCTTCTCTTCTAGTACTTGTGTTCTATGGGTAGCTACGAAGGTCATATTTTGAGTGGGGCTATTAGATTGTTCCATCTTAAACCTACAATAGTAAGATTGTTTGAAAAATAGTTATTAGCTCATGTAGAGTTCAACAAATATTCAAAATGATCATCAAACATAGAGAAACCAACAAAGATCTTTAATATATACAATGATAGTGGAGATTGGTGTCACACACCTAAGTAAGAATGATTAATCAAGTTAAGTATCTTCTAATTATATTTAGTTTTTATTTAAGTTTTTTTTATTTGTGGTTATTATCTATGTTTATTTATGATGTTGGATATTTTATTTAAAATTTGAAGTCCTGATGTTTTGTTTGGTTAATCTTTCTCTCTCTTATTTTTAGGATACGTGTGAAAGCGTTTAACCAAAAAGAATAAGCGAGAGAGAACAAAAAGTTAGCTAATTCAATTGTCTCTTATTTTTAGTTACAAAATATACAAACATATACAATTTAGTATATATGAGTTTTATTTACATATAAAATTTTTGAGTTTTTATTTATCATCTTAACATCATTAATTAAGTGAATATCAAAGATAATAAGGTGAAACAAATCAATTGCATAAGCAAACATATGTTTGAGTTGAAATATGATTGAAAACTTGGTATGTTTAAAACTTAGTGACTACGCAGTTAATTTTCAACATTTTCATTAATTAATATTGTAGTCATCAATGAAACACATGAACGAAATAAATGTCTAGTTCGAAAAAAGAATAAAATAAGCATTAAATAATGGATCATCAATATTGATTAATCATGTAAAATATTGAATTTTTAATGTATATATCTTTTGCATAACAAAATACAAGGGTTGAATTAGAAACTTAAAACTTTATATCATAATACAATCGGTTTACTAAACTAATAGTTTTACTGTGTTA